GAAACCCCTAGTGGATTCTCAATACAAATTATTAAATAAAGATAAAGGCAAAACCTCACCTTAAAAAAAAAAAAAAATTAAAAAAAAATAAAATTAAAAAAAAAAATTGATGTTACATCATTTGACTCATAAGTAACAGCAACTATTAGAACATGTTCTGTAACTAATAGTTTATAATTAACAAAATTTTGATAGTTTATAATATAAACCGTTAAAATTCTGTTAAAATTTTGAAATCATAAACTATTGCAATTCAATTTTTGTTGAAATTATAAACTATTAAAAATTGTTTTTATTGAAAATATATGTCATGGCTGATGTGAAATTCGAACCTGTTTTGTTATGAATTTTTAAAAATTATTTTTGGTGTTTTTTTTTTCGCTCTTTTTTTAGGGTTGGGTTAGGATTCAGGAATTGAATTGATAATTAAAGAGTATATGTAGATTCTAGCAGGACTTATATATTCAAATAGAGGCCCTAGATTTTAGCATCAGCCGCGACAATATATGAGTGTCGCTAAAAGAAAACCCAAAAATTTAAATATGATTTAAATTTAAATTTTCGGGTTTTCTTTTAGCGACACTCATATATACTAAAATTATAGACTATTAGAATCTAGATATTAAAATTTTATAATAAACTCAGTTTTTATTATAATTTCTTTAAAAATTTTACTATATAACACGTAAATTTCTAATTCAAATAAGACAACTTCATTTTAATTTGCCACATTTATTAAATTACTATATATATTAATATATTATATTGTCATATAGAACAAGTTTAGATACAAATGACAAATCTAAAATTTTATATAAAACGTATTGTTCTAACTGAACGATGTGATAATTCATAACCAGTACGTTACAACATGCCGTTCTATAAACAATATCGTTTTTTATCTAGCCTTTACCGTTGTATATAGGTTCGGGTAACATAATTATTATATCACCATAAGCACGGTCTTCCGTAATCCTAGATTGATCGCTTTCCTCAAGCTCGTCAATACTAACTACCACTTCGTCCCAATTATCACTCTCAACATTATCATCGAGTACTACAAAAGACTTACGATCGAATCTTTTACGTTCTTGCTCACATATTGTGTCTCTTTCAATAAAAATAACTTTTTTAATAATCATAATAATTAAAGTCAAAGCCATGAATATTGCAATTGTAGTTCCTAAGATTGCAGGAATATGATAAGGGTAACCATAGTCGAATGGGCTTGAATTCGAATAATTTTCTGTTCTGACTGAGTTATTTTGGTGATGTGGAATTGGTGTGATGATTTGATCTGTGATGGTCAGTGA